TCAAAGTACTCCAATGTCCAAGGTTTAGGGGTGTGTTCATCTTCATCCATTCGCTTCCACCATTCGTAGGCTCCCTCACGGAGTAACTGGGATGCAAGTTTTGGGCAATTCGCTAAAGGTACATTTAGATCTTCAAAAACTCTAGTAGGTTGTTTGATCCAGTTAAGAGCAATTTGGAGTTCAGCAGTATTATCCCCAAGGAATTCTTGTGTGCCATTATCCTTCAAGGTTTTGAAGGGAATCTGAGGATGCGATGGTGGAGGCATTGCTTGAAACATGGGGGCGTTTGCCATTAGTTGTAGGAAATTTGACATAAAGATAGGTAGTACAAATTAAAGTCTTGTTGACCTCCGACGTTCTGGTTATTTCCCGCGTTCTGTGGATCATTTTGTTGATTGAATGGGGTTTGGTGTTGGTTGGGAGGAGTGAAGCTTGAAGCTTTAGTGTGAACACTTACGTTCATATCATTGGGCCCTTGGTTGGCCTGGTTGTGTGCAGATTCTAAACTCATTCTATAAATAACACGAATTCCTTTATTAGGATTTTTTATTTGAGTAGTTGAGTTGATTATCAGAAATCACAAGGAAATACAATAGTTGTAAAGATTGCACACAATGAGAAGGACTTTAGGAAGAAATGATAGGATTTTATTACTGCACACGATCGGATCGTGCTGAATCCACGGAAGGGGTCTCCACACCGGATCCGCAGATGTTATTAGCAGAATCTACACGAAATGTTTCTCTAGGGTCATCTCATTCCCACGCAGCTTTAAAGCGTTTATAGATCTTCAGTTTGGTCCTTCTCGCAATGCAAGCACATTGATAACGAATCAAGGAGTCATACACTTTTATCTTATACTTCCGTCTTTTACCGAGTATGAATGTCCGACTCGAATCGATACTCGATACAATTTCAGTACTAAAAGTTGTCATCTAATGAAAATTTCATACAATCAATGCTTGATAAATAAGTTCCCATTACCTTTCCTAGGGAGGGTTGCGAGAGTCGTGGGTGTAATTTTTTTAAAACTGGATTTTGATCCGAAGATCAACTTTAAAACCGTTTGTTCCGATACCAAATTGTAACATCATAATCCGTCCAGGTTTGCAGTCCCTTTTAGACTAAAGTATTAATTTAGTCATGTCAAAATTTCAAAATATTTAAAAAACATTATTTCAACAAAATAAAATATCATTTTAACAACATTGGAGTTCATAAAATCTGTGGACGCATAAACAAATTGTTTCAACATTACTATCACCGAAATATAAATAATTCACTTTGAAATATTTATTGAATCGTAGAAATCATCACACATCCATCTGAAAACTCGTCCCCAACATCCACCAGGACCAACATCACATCATTCTTTATTCTATTTACATGTGTGTAGCAAATAAAACATACTACATGCTCAACAATGAAGATGAGTGTGGATATATAATGCGACAAACATACACATAGATAGAGTCACAATTCACAAGCAAATCATATGATATCATGCAAATAATATACAGTTCAAATGTTCAATATTCATGATATCAACAACAACACTCTTAAACTATTGTTAGTCTAAGGCCAATTCGTAATAGTGCTTTCAAACTATTTTTAGTTTAAGACTAATTTATGTTGATAACGAGACTTAAACTATAATCAGTTCAAGGTAGAACACAAAATCATGACCTATTATATGGGTCTTATAGGTCATGCTCAGAAACCGAACAGCGGTCTGCTCACTATCGGGTTGGTTAGTACCCCAAAAGAGTGATTCTCAAGTTTGGTTTGTAGAACCCGCACGTATGTCTCAACATGAGCCACCAGACATCATATCTGCAAGGCCTAACAAATTCATCACACGGGGTCTATCTTAGAGTTCTTATGGATATCCTTAATTGTTTATTATCACAAAATATTCATTACATTAATATTTAATCAAGGTTTAATCATCATAAACAATAAATAATAATCATCATCATAATATTCAAATGACAAATAGCGGCCTAACATCTAGTGTTTACACCATAGTTTATTATCATGCACAAATAATGTATAAGAATCAATCGAAACTTTATATTTAACTTGAAAATGATAAAAATCTTGATTTATAATTGATAAGTCAAAAATAGGATTTTATAGGCTTGTTTCTGAATAGATTAATTTTTGGACAGTGTTGAAAAGCCTGTGACGATAGCTTGCTACCATCCGACGGTAGCTTCCTACCGCGAGACTAGTTCAGAAATTGCACATTACTTCGTCTTCAACCTTGGTTCAAACTTCGTAAATACCATTTTGAGTTACCAAATTTCATTTTAACTATACAAAAATGTTCTTTAATATCCATAGATCATTTTAAGTAATTAATTCGAAGTTTTAACAAAAATTTGAAGGTTTATGATTCTTGGTTTATCAAAAATTTATTTTGAGCTTTTCTAACACATATCAATCTATATGCACATTGTAATCACTAGATATATCTAGGGACTCACCTCGAGCTTAAACAAAGAAAATGATGATTGAATGGTGAAACTTTCGACGAACACCACAGCTTTCTCCAGCGATTCCGATGGTGGCAAACTACTACGGCCTGCTGTCCACACTCTAAGAAACACAATGAAACTAATTTTAAGAAGATTGGTGGAGAAATGAGAAGGATAAACTCGTCCTTAAATAGCAAGAGAGGTGGGAAGAAGCCAAGCGAGATCCTGCATAGTGCGATTTCGCATTTGGCGGACGGCTTAGTGGGATATTATATGACCCCAGCTGATAATGACAAATTTTATTCCAATTGGGATACACTTTTTGATCCCACTTTCACCAAATTAAAATTTGATTGCACCATTGTGATCAGACAAGCTCTACACAATAGTATAATTTTTAAAATTAATTGACAACTTTTTAAATTACTTATTTTTTGGTCCATCTCAGTAATTAATTAATTATAAATTAATTAATTATGATAGACCTATTTTTAGGCCGTTACGGGAAAAGAGCTACAAATGGCCTTTCTCATAATCCAGCAATCTTTTATTACAAAAGCTGGTCAAAAGAGCTACAAATGGCTACTAGAAAGAAATCAAAACCTATCTGAGGATTCCCTCCCTTTTAAACAGTTTGGAGCTCGGAATTTTTCGATATGGGAAGTTACCTGGTAGGATCCCAAATACCGGCCAATTATTTGGTTTGGTACATTACGATTCTTTTTTGATATTTTATCAATTTGACATTTTTCCCGCGTCTGCTCCCTGCCTCTAGTTCTATAGCCCTGCGCAGGTTCTTTTCCTTATGTTTTAAATTTTCTCCCTAATTTTTAATGTGTGTTTGTTTAAATACTTTTTTTGGGATAATGTTTAAGTGCTTTTAGTTTATGTAATGTTCAATGTTTGCCTATTTGACTTAATTTGCCTAAATATTTTAAGTCTGCTACAACCCTTGCTTATAATTCAGAGATCAGGTTAATAAATTGTTTAATATTTTGTATTTATTTAATTATGAGGTTATTATGCAGAAGATGCAACACTTTCTAAAGCTGTTATTTCGAAGAAAAAAACTACTCCTGGCTCTGCCGGGGATAATTCGCCACGGCGTCCCCGCCACTGGCCTCCAATTAAAAGGTACCATTAAGTAATTATAATTTGCAAATAGGTTTGATTATTATGATTCCATGATTTGTTTAATTGTTTTGCATCGGCCTCCCATTTGTAAAGGATGAGCCCTGAGCCCCATCTGAGGGCCCCTCAACCCAACCACACGGACACTGACAAGAGGTAAATTAGACTTTGGTCGCAGATTCGCGGTAAAGAGTGGAGTCTGCTTAGAGAGGCCTTATGCATTCCTCCCAAAGCAGTTGCCTATAATCGAACTCGGGTTTTATCCCTTGGCATTCCTTGCCTTGCCAAGTGCGCAATGCCCACAGGCGGCCTCCCTTTTGTGCGTGTGTGGGTGGAGTCAAATATGCACTTCACTTATCAAATCTTAGGGTCCGTTTGGTATACGGAATTGATGGAATTGGAATTGAATTGGAATTGAAATTTCATGGGATTCAATTCCATAGAATTGAATACACCAATTCCCATTCATATTTTGCACTGTCAATTCCAAATCCACATAATATTTGAGCTACCAAACACCAGAATTGGAACTAAAGTCCTCAATTCCAATTCCATAGTTTGAATTCCGTGTACCAAACGGGGCCTTAGGTTATTCATTGAATATGTGATTAATGAGCTTAGAGCATCCGCAGCGGCGTGGAGATGCATTCCCATGCCATGCCACCTCAGCATCTTTGGTCCATTGCCATGCGTGGAGATGGAAATTCTCCTCCATTACCGTGTCATCCGCGAGGCATTCTTGTTCCTATTTTTCTTTTTTTTTTTCATTTTTTCCATTTTTGGTAAGAGACTTTTAAATGATTTTTTTAATGAAGTACTCCTAATAACCTTTTTTATGATAAAATAAATAAAAATAATAATTTCAAATAATCAAAATATTTAAAGAAAAATAAAAGGTGAGAAAAAATTATTGTCATTTTATTTGTTTGCATCAAAAAAGAAGTTTTTTAAAAAAAAATAGTAGAAGTACAATTATGAAAAAAGATAAATTAAATAATTTTGAGTTAAAAGAAATGCAGAGTATTTTGTGATAAAATAAATAGGTTAAATAACTTCAAATAATATGGAAAAAACAAAAAAATAATAATAAAAACACTACTTGCCACTGCAGAACACACCACTCCACTCCCTTGCCACTCGTTGACTGAACTACTTTTTATTGGTTGGAATCTTCCAAGTCAGCGTGTGGCATTCCATGCTCATGCTCTTATTGCATTGTGCGACCCCATGTTTTTTCTTTAGATTCTTGAAATGAATTGGTTTTGAAATGGAGTTCCTGGTCTAAACATAAAAAATACAGAGTACTGTAACACATATTCCCTGTAGACTCTGGAAAGGATTTTTTCTGAAAGAAAAGATCCACGTACAGACAATCATATGGCCTGAAACAGGTTCAGTTACCATTTAATAGAATTGATTAAATAGCACCCCGTTTAAAGTTCTCCGTGCGACTAGCTAGATTGAAGAAGATAACTGGCACAAATAGGCTCTCAGCAGAAATGTATGCAGAATTGATATCAATCTTCAGATCAGATTAAACACTTGGTGCAACCATAAGTTAGTACGACACTTCCTAAAGTTATAGTTGTACGTAATCTATGACTCGATGTTATCTTTCTTCAGCAGCATCTTCTGTTCCTGACATGGTGTCTTGAAGTGGACTAGGTGGTTCTGTTGTTATTAACCCCTCATCGCAAGTGAAGACTGCCAGAGATTGGGCAATGCTGGTTTGCTGTCTTGATGGGGAATTTACATCATATGTTGTAGCCATAGGCAAAACCTCTTCATTATCTTCTCCAGACTTTTCAGTCACTTCAGGCAAGACCACATTTACTTCGCAGAAGGCTCTTGCTAATGCACAAACTTTTTGCCAGGTCGTATGATCACCAGATGCCAAGATATCTTTGTTCTGATTAAGGAAGTTGAAAAAGAAGATGAGAAGAGCAGATAGTGCTACTACACCAGCTATCAGGAAAATTCCCTTGAAACTGTCAAGTGCTAGGCTATCTGATGCAAGGAGAGTTACATCTTGCTCTGAACAATTCGTTTCATTCCTGAACCACTTATCTGTAATTCTCACCATACTCTCACTTTCCATCACACTTAAGATTGCTCTTGACACATCAGGAACCAGAGGCGATCCTTTTGGGAATGCCTGCAACAAGAATTCAATGAAACAAATGTCATTATAGCAGTGTATCTTCAAGGAAGTACGGCCAGGGTTCGTTTGGAACTCAGAAAATGGTAGGGCACGAAAAGGTGAAGGAGACATAAGCATTAAATGTAGTGCTTTCAGGGAAATGATAAAAAAATTGGTTGAAACTCAATAAATAATAGTAGCCTTATGAAATCAAGATTCTGGGTTGTAGGTTGTTAGAGAAATTACAAATCCAAATCCTGCTGTCTTGTAAGTTGGGCCAACCATGGTGTACTTCCCGCAGTACTTTGCAAGGAAGAGCCTCATGTAGGGCAGTTCGTCAACAATGGCGGAAACACCTCCGTTTTGGCTCCCTTTGGTAAGGGCTTCATCGTATTCTTCTAACGTACTGTAATTCCGAAATTTTGAGCTTTCAAGATGCATGAACTTCAAAAGGCCCGTGACAAAGGATCCCTCCTGGTATCCAACTGGTTCTTGGTTCTTTATTATATCTGTAAGGTTTGTGATGGTGGGTTGGAGCTGTTGTACTGTTAACATGGACGTTAAGCTGGCTGTATAGCTTGATGTAAGCACCAGCACTACAAAGACCCACACAATTATGACAAATCTTGATAGATTGCTGATCACCTTTTCCCCTGAAACATTGTAGGTTTTCACTATCATGAGAAACACTGTTTGTTTAAGGTCTCGTTGGATCCTGGAAAATACTAGGGAAAGATAATACGAAGGAAAACACACGAAGTAAGAAGAAAATAAAATCTGAGAAAAACTAGAAGGTAGACTAAAACTCAATAATTTTTGTCGTTAAATGTCTACTTATCTTATTTATTCATGTCAATTCTGTAAGACTTATTGTCGTTGTCGGCGCCATTATCAGCACCATACTCTTAAGTCTTAATTATATGGGTCATTAACATTAAATCATAGTGTCAAATAATTGTATGGCCAGTTTCTTTTGACACTTAAATATTTTTTGATGTTTTTTGTTTTGTTTTGGGAGGTAGATCTTTTTATCTTTTGGGAGATAGAAGCTTACTGTGAGCATAGACGAGTGTAGAGAAGGAGAACCAGAAGATCATCCCAAATTGCTTGTGAGGAGGACCTTGAAACTCTTTGTTTATGTGATGTTCAAGTACCCAAATCACAGAGCCAATAAAGACAAAGAAAGCCCCTGTTGTCACCCAAAGCTCTGTTCTCAAAGGTCTTAAGAAAATCCAGGCACTCCTCCTCCTATCTTTCCTTACTGGGACAACTGTAATGACTCCAGATTCTGTAAATGGCAGTGTGAATTCCACGCTTTCAGATCTGTTTGCTAAGATGGTCACATCTCCAACGACGACATCAACGGTCTGTTGAAATCCAAGATATTGCAAGTGCTACAATGTGATTAGTATTCAAGAACGTTTTGCATGAGGAATAAATGTGATTATAGAAAATTTAACTTTGAAAAGAAGCATTTGGTAAGAAAACAGAAATGAACGGTTTTACTATTAAGAATCATTAATGCTTATTTAAGAAAAGCACTTGAATTGTTGTATTACCCCGAGAAGAACCTGGCTGACAAGAGCATCATAGTCTGGAAGGTTTTGGTTGCCAGGGATTGGGAAAGGTACATAGTCAAACGGAGCAGCGAAAGGCAAGTTCTTAATTACTTCCTCAAAAACTTCAATGCAAAAACCAGTGGCAGTCACTCTGTTTGTTTGGGTATCCTGCGTTACTTTCACGAACTGTTCAAGTCCACCTTTAACGGGAACTCCTACACGCAACTTCTTTTTTCCATTTGTGGGAGTCTCCCATCCTTTAGGAACAATGTGGGAGTCACCTGGCCAGATGATTGCCCCCAGATCATCCTTGTTGGCTGTGTATACACCTCTAGGACTACTATGCTTTAGCTTCTTGGAAATCCCATACTCTTCCGTCCAGAACCCAACCCCTTTCTCACCACCTAACACATTCACAATCTGAAACACAGATGGCTGCAACTCTCCATTAACAATGTGGAATTGACCGCTTAGCCCATTGAGTTTGATGTTTCTGATTGGTTTTAAGAGTGAAGGCCCCAACTGTGAGGTCCCAATTGCATCCAAGTCTGACAGACTCTCACCACTCACCGCTGGCTCGAATCCTTGATGGGAAGTATCTACTGTCTCAAATGCCGTGGCTAATGCTGTCGTGCTGTCATATGCCCATAACCCAAAAACATCCAACCCCTCAACTCTATCTGTCTCCGGGTTCTCCTCATGAAACTTCCTTGTATATTTGGTAGTGAAGTTCTTCACCCGCTGCAAGTAGGGCTTCACCCCTATCACTCCCTGGATGTCATCAATCTCTGAAGGGTCCATTGAGCTCAAATGACTCGTGAAAGTGTCCGTGATCATCCATACGTACCCCTCACTCATCATTCCCTCATCTTTCACCTTCTGAAAAAAGCGAGACCCAGTGGTTTGCTGTAAATGCACGACGAAAACCCTTGTTTGCATCGTCATCAACTTGTAGAGTTCCATGAGGATTTGTTCATCCTCAGCATAAGGTGGGAGGACGCATCTGTATGCTACAGATACTCCAACATCCATCATGGCATCTGTCAAATGGGGAAGAACACCCCTTCCGAAGTCACTATCCTCATACACAAACATGACCTCTCTCCAATCGAATGCCTTAACGATGGCTGCAATGCCTTTAACCTGAGCACTTGCACTATATGCCACTCTGATGAAGTACTCGCTTTGGTTAGGTGAAAGTGATGGACTTGTAGCTGGAGAGAGTATGGGAACCTTCACTTTCTCCCCAAGATCTATCACAAAATCTGCTTGTGTCGCCATCTGAGGCCCCAAGATTGCTTGGACTTTCACATTCTTCAACAGGTCTATGGCTGCAAAATTTGAGATCCAAAATCCCAATGCCATGGATTTAAATATTTATGTTTTTTTTATATACTCCCTCCATCCTATAAAATTGGTACACTTTGACTTCATGAAGTTTAAGAAAGTTATTGAAAAGTAAAAAGTATGATTAGAACTTGTTTAGAGGAAAGAATTGTGGATAGTCGCATATTTATTACCAAAATAGAGAACGAAGTAAATGTAAATAATTTTATGAGACGTCCAAAAAAAAGTTAAGTGTAAAGAATTTTATGGGACGAAGTATGAGTTAATGGGCGATTTGGTGGATCCAAATTCCGATGTGGAAAGCCAAATTGAGTCCAATGAAAAGTTAAAGACCAAAGTTGAGTCATACTTATTGCATAGTTCAGGTGCACTTTGTCAATTCAAACATTTTTTTTTTTGTCAAAGCTGCTAAACTTTGATCAACAATACTTTTCTTATAAAAAATGATTTGTAGTATGCAAATAATAAAACATACTGTATTCTCCATCATCAAACATACTTTTGCAGTTCAAAATACATTAATCATTCTTATACTCTTACCAGTACTATTAAACTTTAACTCGCTAATTAATCACCTGCAGATGCTGCAAGAACATCATCGCCTTGGGAGTCTCTGAAGTGGAGGGAAATGCGGGCACTGTGGCTGCTGCGAGTGGCGTAGAAATCAGCAAGAGCCAGTGACATACATATCTGCACCATCTTCCCAGACCCCGTCTTCAAATCAAGAATCACACCAACGTCTACCTTCACCGCACTGGAATTTTCTGCCTGAATTGGTGTTGTGCAAAGGGTGATGAATATGATGAGAGTAGCAACCTTTAGCAGAAACAAATCCAAGATTCTTGAAGTATTCATATTTTTTTAATATTGATTGATAGATTCTTTGTATATTCTACTTCTCTGTATAAGCTTGTTTGTTAAGTTCTTTCATAGAATATATACTATATATTTAAGACGTAGGGAATCACTTGTACTGTGAAAAAACAAGTCAATGGGTTTGGCTCAAAATGTAAGCGCGTTAGTGTGTGTCTATGACAGAAAAGTCTATGGATGGGAAATGGCCGAGTGATGAAATGGTCCAGTATGGGCTGTATGGCTAATCAAACTACATCTATGAGGTAAAACCTGTTTGGGATCTATGCATTTTATTTATTTTTTTAAATTTCATTTAAAAAAACCATCATATCTCAATTTAGAGAAACCTGGCTATTTCATTCAATCTCAGCTGTTTTTGAACTTTGATTAAAATTTGAAATTTGAAAAACTTTGATTAAATTTTTCAATTTAAAGTTTGACCATGTAAATATTCAACAGATAACTTAAATTAAAATGGAGAAAGTATAAAACGGATTCTAAGTATAAAATATTAACTATGCATTTTTTACTTTTAGTGCTTATGAGTTGTTTTTAACTTATAAGTCAGTTGATAACGTGTTTCTTTATTCTTATAAACTTACACATAAGCTCCTAATAATAATTTTAAAAAAAATTAACCAAGTCTTATCTACTTATTTTTAAGTAAGTTTTTCTGTTTCTTGGTTGTGACCAAATTATTTACCAGACTATATCTAACTTTTTATAAATATCTCCGAATGAATGGTCTCTCATTTAAGTCATGTTATTAAAAAAATACATCAATAAACAGGTTATAAGTTAAAAACTGATTTTCTACGAACACCAATAGAGACAAACATTCTCTTTATCAATATGAATTTCACCATTTTAATTGGTTTTAATCTACATAATTATTTTATTATTTTAGAAAGAAGGTTATATAAGTTTTACTTCCTCTGTCGCAAACTAAATGTGTGCACACTATTTACAAGACCTTATTTATTCTTTTTTACTTATTTTCGTTAGTTATTAGATAAAACAATAGTCATGTTACCACTAGTTTTTCTTAAAACTTTTGATATAGTTTTTTAATTTATAAAATTTTAGAGTAAATTCCAAAGTAGTCCTTTGTAATAAAATGTTTCCCAAATCAGTCCTTAATAAGTTTTAATTACCTGCGTGGTCCTCTATACTTGAGATTTATTCTCAAGATGGTCCTTCGTAAATAACGTTACTCAAATAAGGATTAACTGAGGGTATTTTGATATTTTTATCCGCTTAATTTAGAATTATTTTTTAAAATGATCATTTATAATGAAGTGTTTTTCCAAAATGATTTTTTCTAATTAAAGACGTGTATTTGATTTAAAGTTTTAAAGATTTTTTGTAAGTTTTAAATAATTCATGAATTATTTATAGTCAATGTATTTTTTCAATTTTACATTTAATTGTAGAGAAATACTAACTGTTTCGAGAATATATACTTTAAATTTGGATTATCAAAATACCAAGATATCTCTCAATTGATCATCGTTTGACTAACATTATTTTCTAAAGGACTATCTTGAAAATAAATCTCAATTACAAAGGACCATGTAGGTAATTAAAACTTATTGAGGACTGAATTGGGAAAACACCTTCTTACAAAAGACCATTTTGGGAATTTACTCAAAAAAGAAATTAATTAATCAAAAATAAAAAATTTTTAAAATTTTTACGAGTACCAAAAAGTATAGTAATGTGCACATGTACAATGTCACATTACTACCACATTACCACAGTGCGAACTCATATTTCAAAAATAAAATCATTGAATTCCTATTTTGGTAATTTTTCTATGTTTTAGTCTTATTTAAAGTGATTTTTCTTTTTTAAACTACAAATGCACTAAAGTCGATACAAATTTCAATGTCCTTTCCTTTACACTACGTTTGGTTCAAGGAATTTGAAAAAAAATGAAATGGTTTTTTCTCATTTTCTTCATCAAAATGAGAGGAATTAATTTCTCTTAAATTTTGTATTTTCTTTTTCTCCTCATTCAAATAAGAAAAACTATTTTTCTCTTATTTTCTTTTCTTATCTATTTCAAATTCCTTGAAATAAAGTTAATAAAAACCCTATTTGAACGACCGTATCCGTCCATTCAATAAAAACGTCGGCAGAGCTTTCCCCAAAAAAACGCACAGGCACCGATTAGGCCGTGTAGACTGAATAAGAACTACCCTCAATCTCTCCTACGAGTCGACACCCCGGCGGCCGCTGCCACCGCGCTTACTGACGCACCCATGACCCACTCAGACGCCCCTGTCCGCACCTCACTGACGCTCCCCTCATTTATCAATGTATATAATTAAATTACCGAAGTGGGATTTTAGTCGGTAGATTATTGTCTCGATCAATTGATTCTTAGATTGTTGTTTTTATTCAAAAAGAAATTCAATAAGGAATAATTTGTATTCCATTATATACCTCATATAGGAAGTAGGATTATTTGTTTAATTATTACTCTTACATTATTAATTTGTTATATGCTTATTATGTATAGTTTGTCAATTTCATCTATTAGTGATGAGTTTATGACTTATAATAGATCACTTTCAAGATATGAGAACTAGACAAATACTTTGGTTGAAGACATACTGGAGTATTTTGTATTTGTAATGTAACTTTATGAATGATTATCCGCTCCTCTCACAACACTCTCAATACAATTTTGATGTTATACTATCAGCTTATTAATTGATTCTCTGGCAGATGGCCGGCATCGGGATGCACCCATACCAACAGCAATGGGCTCCAGCTCCACCTCCAGCTGCCGCACCACCACCTCCTCCGCCGCATGCTCACACTCTTCCTCCTCCAATGCCTTTCAATGACCCTAATTATCCCCTTACCGAAGAGGTAACAAGGAACACAATAAAAGATTCTCTTACTATCTCCTTCTCTGCATCTCATTTGCGCAACTTTTGATTCTTGAATTTTAGGTGCGAACTGTATTCATATCTGGGCTGCCTGAGGACGTAAAGGAGAGAGAGCTCCAGAATCTTCTTAGGTGGCTACCAGGTTATGAAGCATCTCAGGTTAATTTCAAAGGCGAGCACCCCATGGGTTTTGCGCTTTTCTCCAATCATCAGTTTGCGATTGCAGCCAAAGACGCCCTTCAGGTAATTACTGGCTTTTCTTATTCAAATTCTGTTTATTTAGTTTTTTTCCTTATTAAATACTTGAAGTGTAGGATATGGTTTTTGATGCGGAGTCAAAATCTGTACTGCACACTGAGATGGCAAAGAAAAATCTTTTTGTCAAAAGAGGTAGGGATTTATATTGATATTCTTCCATTTTTTTTAACTTCTGCACACTGAGTTTGCTTCTTGGCCATCTGTAAATTAAGACAAACTTGTAATTTACCCGGAAATAAAATTATACATCTGTGCTGGTAAAATATACTCCATATGTTATTTATTTAATCGTTTTATCTATTATGTGCACTGTTATGCTCAAGAGATGATTCACATTGCAGATGTTTTAATTGTTTCACAAAAACATGTTTTTTTAATTTTTAATGATAAGTCTGGATTTCATCTTTCAATGACTTGTGTGCAGGAATTGTTACCGATGCAAATGCTTATGACCAGAGCAAACGGATGCGAACCGTTGGTGATTATACACATACGGGGTACTCCAGCCCCTCTCCTTTTCACCCTCCTCCTCCACCAGCATGGGGTCCACCAGTGTAAGGATTATCCTGCATCTTAACAAGTGCATTATATTTAAGTTGTACAGATGTCTTCCAGCCTTTTTTCATGCTTTTAACATGGACATGACTTGTAATGCAATTGTATATCGGGTCAGTTACATGGCCCCACCGCCTCAACCCTATGACCCATATGGTGGTTATCACGTTCCACCCGTGCCAATGCATGTTCCTGCTCCTGTGCATGCATCGCCAAGCAGCTATGTGCCTGTTCAGGTAGTGTAAGCCAATAGTGTCCATGTTTTATGTCTGGAAATTGTTTACCATTGAATTCATTTTCTGGATATAGATGTGAGTAATAATCATGAATGGGTTTTTTCTTGTAGAACATGAAAGATAACCCTCCTTGCAATACACTCTTTATTGGCAATCTTGGAGAAAACATAATTGAGGAGGAAATGAGGGGCCTTTTCACAGCGTAGGGATGCTAATTTTAGATTTTATCAAGTTTCACACACCTTGAGTTGTCTGTTTCATTGAGAAGTATGTTTTTGACAGGCAACCTGGTTTTAAGCAGATGAAGATATTGAGACAGGACAGGCATACTGTATGTTTCATCGAGTTTGAAGTAAGTTCATGTCTTCTATGCAGATGAAGTTGCTTTCATATTTTTGTTCTATTATTCTAGCATGTGGCTTCTGTTATCTATGTTGCTACCTCATGTGACACCATTTGCAGGATGTGCAGAGTGCTACCAATGTGCACCAGACATTGCAGGGTGCTGTAATACCCAGTTCTGGCTCTGTTGGCATGCGAATTCAATATCCTTGCCCTATCTATCTCCCCCCTTGCCCCAACCCCAAAGTCCTTCCCATATTGAATTCACTACTTACATTTGGGATTTTTGTCAAGAACTATTGCACCCATGGAGGGTTAACTTTGTTAGGCTCATTATGGTATCTGTTTTCCAATTGTACACATGGCATTCTGTTTCTCAAAGCCCAACTTTAACTGAAACAATTTCACGTTTTCTTAATACATTTCAAAGTATTTAATTAAGTTCATTTACTCAAAGTCTCAGATAAAGCATTTTTCTCATATTGTTTTCAGATATGCATATTTCCTGAATGCACTGGTAATGAAAGCTTGACAAAACTGAGTCAAATTGGCCTTCAAAACATTGTGCATCTATGACACTAAAAATATGAATGCATTATTTGGATAAGGTTTGCCGCACATGATTGAAATCGAGAAACTAATGGCTATTAGGTTCTAATATGCACTGTCATTCATGAATGTTCTTAATACATACTCCCTCCATCCCAGAATTAACCTCACAATTTGACTTTTTTTATCAAACTATGCAATACTTTGACCACAAATAAAATACGTATAGTTTTATATAATTAAATGTTATAAAAGTTTGATTGATCAAAACTATATTTTAAAGTGAACCCAATTTTACTAAATTTACATTATAACTAAATATTTTTTTTCACAATTTGTGGTCAAAGTGTAATACAGCTTGATAAAAAAAGTCCAACTGTGATGATCATTTTGGGACGGAGGGAGTATGTTTGCATGTGGATGGCCATGGTTTTCCTTAACTATCTAGCTACATATTCAAAGAATCCATTTGGGAAAAGGAAGGACTTCAACAACAATGCACCTGCTGCAAATGGAGCTCCACCCATGACATACTAGTAGTGCTGGAAGGGGATGTATTTTGTTCTCTATGTTATGACAAATTCAAATCCTTGCATGATAGGATGCATCAATCATGTCAGATGTTTCATGTCATCAAGTCATCAGCATAAGCATCTCTTCTTATTTGTGAATGAATGCACCACGTGGCATCATGAACATTTTATAATTTATCCAGAGCATGCATTTGAAGCAGTGGCATCCTGAGAAAAAGCTAACTACATTGACTTCATGTTTTTTGTTTACATATCATGGGCACATGTATCACTTTGCTTTTAATACTCTATGATGCTAGATGTCATGGATGCTTCTTTGTTAGCTATTGCTGTCTTTCATAACATTTTTTCATGTCCACTTTCTAGTTTGGTCGGACAAGTAACATGTTATTCCATAATTCCCTCAAAACGATTCTACTGAAGCATTATTAACATAACATGGCACAATTTGAGTAGAAACTCACACCACTATGTTTGACCAATAGAGTTATATTATTTCTACCATGATTGATTACCTCGGAAGTTATCATCTGCATGATTATGATTAGCAACTGTCTAGAAACCTTTATCATGGTCATCATCAGCAAATGAGTTGCATTTCTATCCCATTAAGTTCATTGATAGGGTTGGTTCTATTTACCACCATTGGTTCAAATATAAGGGGCTGGAGAGAATCTCTAGTTAATGTTTGTTTTGCAGGTTCTGTTCACTATCTTCAGCCGAGCCAGCAAAGCAAATTCTTCCATCAGGTATATCAATTTTCTCGTTTTTTCTTTGATGGAATTAGGCTAGTTTTCATTGGGTTTGTTTTTAGGGTAAAGTTTTTCTCCAATGCTGTCGTCTAATAAATTTTTGTTCAGACGTATCATCCTCTAATTAGAAAATGTTTTTAGAGGGACATTATGTGCCACGTTTTAACTTCAAATTAGGTGGACAGTCAACACTGGCTATGTGCTAGTGGAATTTGACAATAACTGCTCAGTGTTTTTTTATAGTAACTAAAACACTAAAAATGGATATATAATTATAGGATAAAGCTATATGTACCCCATGTTTTATACCCCACTTTGTACCCCGCAGGTTTGTACCAACACTTTGTGTTGGTGCAAAACTAATTTTTGTTAATGCACCAACACTTTGTGTCTGTGTAAATTTTTGTTAACGCACCAACACTTGTGTCGGTGTAAACCATCAAAATGTTTGTGTATAACTGCGGTGTACAAATGGGGTACAATTTGTGGTGTAAGTGTAGCATGACCCATAATTATATATTACACCCTTTGTCCTGCTGGGATTTTCTGGGGGTGGGTAAAAAACTGACATGTAATTGTTACCAAAACAGTCCAATGTAGTACCAAACCGAAAAAGAGTTTTAAATACAATCATTTTATTTTCCTCCTGAACCAGGACCGTACCATTAAGAGTGGGTACATAACCAGTCTTGACTGTTCAAAACTGAAAAAATACCAGACCGTTTTAGTAGTGTTGTCTATAATTAGAAAAATATTTATACAAATCCTATGTCCAATTAGACATTTGCATTTGGGCCAAAGAGTATTTGTTTTACATCTTTACTCACTCTCAATATATCTCAACTTACACAGTCCCACGATTCACACCAGCACTCAATCTCGGACTCTCTCCACTCTGTTTCTTGGGTCTCCCCTTCTTCTCTTCAAGGTTCAACAACAAATGTCTTTCTTTACAGTTTCTAGTTCTCACCATAGCCATTGTTAGGTCCATGATGTTTTCTTTGTATCCTCACTTCCCTTTATTCCAGGGTTCAGTTATCAGATTTTCTTTTTTTAAAAAAAATAATATATGTGTATGCTTGAGTTGATGATATCTGCCTTTTCCTGGACAATTGGATCAGGGGTTTGTTAATATGTTCAAGTTTAAGGTTTTTGTCTGTTTTGTAGATGCGGTTGATGGGTTGAAATTTCTACTTCAATTTTGAATTTTCAAATTTCTGTTCTTTGTATATTCAGATTATTGAATGCCAAATATTGTATGTTCAGTCGATTAAGCTCCAACTGAAATATCTCATGGCAAATACTATATTCTCCTCTGTATTGTACTTTTTAATGCTATTTGTATGGATTCAATTATAACGCTAAATTCTTTTAGGTAGTGTTTGGGAAGTAGAAATCATTTGAAATCTTAGATTTCAATTCCAATGTATGAAATCTCATAATTTCAAATTCCAAATCTTGTTTGGTTGATAAATACGGAGTAAGATTTATATTAGATATTGATAACGAATAATTTTATTAGACTTCTTGTAAACTATTTTCAATATATTTTTATCTCATCAGTATACCATGTAATTTTTTTTTCAAATATATGTCAAATGGCAATCTTAATTGATTGCAAAAGGTTAAAAACAGATTATTACTATAGGACTGAAGAAGTATATTTTAAAACTATGTAAAAAAAGTACTAGAAATAAAGAGATGAGAAAAAATGGTTAAACTTTGATGATGTAAATAATAAATATATAATTTAAAATGGACCGAAAGTAATACTCCCTCTGTCCACCATAGATCTTCCCAGACACTATTCACAGGGTCAAACTTCACTCACTTTGTTTGCTTATTTTTACTAGTCATTTCGTAAAATAATATAGTCTTGTCACCTCTAGTTTTGTAGAACTTTTCATGTTGTTTATTACTCCCTCCGTCCCAAATTATAATGCCTGTTTACTATTCACAAGGTCAAACTTCATTCACTTTCTTTCTCTATTTTCGTTAGCAATTTGATAAAATAAAATATTGTTGTCACTACTAGTTTTATAGATTTTTTGATGTAGTATTTTGATATGTAATTTTTATTTTTTAACTCTATACCATTTGTCATATAAAATGATTTGAAAATAACTTCAGTCAAACATCGTAAACCGAAACAGGCGTTATAAAATGGGACGGAGGGAGTACTATATAAATTTTATTTTATAATTTTACTCCTATAATCATTTAAATTGAATTGAAAATAAAATCAGTCAAGCCTCGTAACNCTTGTCACCTCTAGTTTTGTAGAACTTTTCATGTTGTTTATTACTCCCTCCGTCCCAAATTATAATGCCTGTTTACTATTCACAAGGTCAAACTTCATTCACTTTCTTTCTCTATTTTCGTTAGCAATTTGATAAAATAAAATATTGTTGTCACTACTAGTTTTATAGATTTTTTGATGTAGTATTTTGATATGTAATTTTTATTTTTTAACTCTATACCATTTGTCATATAAAATGATTTGAAAATAACTTCAGTCAAACATCGTAAACCGAAACAGGCGTTATAAAATGGGACGGAGGGAGTACTATATAAATTTTATTTTATAATTTTACTCCTATAATCATTTAAATTGAATTGAAAATAAAATCAGTCAAGCCTCGTAACGCGTAATGGGAAGATCTTAGGTGGACGGAGGGAGTATTAGATTTCTCGTGGGTGTGGTTAGATTCCTACGCTTTTGACTATTAGTTTAGTAGTGGTTTGAGTTGTCTTATACTCAGTACTTTGTAGTAGTTCTACATTTTCATCTCTATCCACTCTCTAATATGGATATTCTAGTAAACTTATGAGTTTAATTTGTATTGTCAGGTGTAAAATTTCAAACGCATAATCTTTGGAAGGCTATTTAAATTTTAATTGTTTAAATGAAATGTGTAGTATTATAAAATTTTCAAGTAATGTAATACTCTCTCATTGTGTTTAACTTCAAATATATATATTTTTGGCTTAGTATGGTTGGATACCTTATAGCTTTTTGTTCAAATGTATACTTTTTTGGCTTAGTATGGTTGGATAACTTTTTGTTTTAAGGTTGCATTGTATCAATCGGTTATTAGACTACAACCAAATCATATTGAACCAAGTCAAAGAGAGTCCCTCGGATTGCCCTTTGTATTTTCGGTACCCTTGTCTTGATCGTGACTCGATTAGCGTCTAGAGCAAACTCGATTAGTGGCGACATGTACCATTAGCTAGTAGGGTTGTTCGTTATGTTTCATTTTGTTAGGATAACCATGATATTTGCCAAGTGTATGCTTTTGTTCATCTCCACCCCCCTACTCAGGGGTGACCCTAGAGCTGTGAAAGGCATTGCTTTCTCCCGATAGATTTTATGAACCCGAGGGGTGTAGGGGGTCTAGGTTGTGGCTCGTCTTGATGAAGAATTGAAAATCCTCATTTCGGCATGCATTGACCCGAGGGGTGTAGGGGGTCTAGGTTGTTGCTCGATTAGCACTTGGGAGAATGTTTTACACTTGAGGACTCCATACCCGAGCCATAGCTATACAAACCTTAGTTGAGGTTAGCACATCTCCTAGTATCAAGACCTAGAGGGCCGATACATGCTTTCTTTCGTGGCTTGGAGTGTGGTTGAAAAAGGACTAGACTGTGGGAGATCTTTAGTTTGTATGAGTGGTACTCTGCCCTCTTGAAGTATGTGGCGGAGGTCCTCAGAGGAGTATACTGGAGTGCTTTTGGACACGTTAATGTTTTGTTTCAGCTATCATACCCTCTGGGCAGGATTGTGAGTTTTGTGAGAGTGTGTTAGCATTTTGGATAGTGGCTCACAAATAGCGTCAATATTAGAATGAAGTGATTTGGGTACAATTGAAGGATCCAACACTCCTCCTTTGGCCTTAGGTGGTGGAAAGAGTCTACAAGAGGTTAAGTGATGATGTTTTGATTATGGATGGCGGCCCCCACCCTCCGATCCGACTTATACTCCGTAGTACTTCGTATAATCTTAATCAGTTTCTTAGAGAGACATTCTGTGCTTAGTGTGCATGCTCATATCTTGAACATAATTTTTTCCTAAGGACTAAACGAGTTATCCGTGCGAACGAATTGATTAAGAAAGGAATCAATAGATAGTGAGTTAATAAAGTAGATAACCACTGAATTTTATCTAAATTATTAGATGGAAACACAAGAGGAGAAAAATCTCACTACGCATTTACCAAAGGATGAGTTTACTTTCACTAGCAACCACTTTTCCCATCACTTCCACTTTTCCCATCACTTATACGGGTAAAGAAAGTTTCCTAATTATGGGCACACACGAAGATCTTGTAAAACAAAATCAATATTCAATCAATGCATAGTTTCTTCGAGAACTTTCAAAATTACATCACTAGTCCCTGTACCTTTAATAAAATGCATGATTTATCCAAACTATTTAAAAAGTGCATGTTTTTCCTTAACCTTTTAAAAATGCACAGTTAGTCCATGTACTCTTAATAAAGTGTATGTTTTCATTGAATTTAAAAAAAATACCATTAGTCCTATATTTTTAAAATAGTACATGATTACTAGTAAAACTCTGAAAATTTTTCTTGATTTTACGTCTTGACCAAACTTGAATAAAAAGAAAAAAGATAACAAGACTTATGATGCACTTTTAAAAATTTCTAAGAGAAAACACGCACTTTATGAAAAGTATAAGAACTAATGATGCACTTTATGAAAAATATAAAAAATAATGGTACACTATGAAAATGTAAGGACTAATGATGCACTTCTAAAAAAATCAGGGTAAAAGTGTAAAACATGCACTTTTTCTTACTCCGTATTAAAGAGTTCGAGTGTAAAACACACTTTTTTTAAAGTATCGGGATGGAAAGACAAAAATCTCAATCAAATCCTCTACAGAACTTTCTCATTGCTATTCAAAAAGAAATTATAATAGATTGCTCACGCCTAACATACTTAGCCAAATATAGAAAATCAATGCCATTATATTCCTAGAACAAGTAAAAGGTTCAAATTTAACCAAGATATACTTATATGGTGAATCAAACCCATTCTTGTTTATGGTGAGACAGTTCAGTCATGACAAAGATTTTCATTCCTAACACCATTCATTACAGATACAGTGGTGAATTTCCCATCAAAATGGTAACAAAACAAATGCTTATATGCAGATTGTGTGAATGCTGCTTGATGCCTAAGAAGTGCACATTTGCTTATTTCTGCAACAAAAAAAACAAAGAGATTCATAGGAAACAAAAGCCTCAAGTTAGATATAAACCTGTTATTGTGAATCCAAATGATAAGTGTTTCTCTATTTTGTGTTCCCCTTAGATCGCCCACCACTTTGGCCTTTGGGCAATTAGTCACTCACTTCCATGATACAATTACACAAAAAGATCACAAATCTGAAAGAATATTAAGCAGAAGAGAAATGAGGGCGCGGGGGAGGTAGCGATTGGTGGTGTGTTCGAGGAATGTGATTGGGAATTCCATGACTATTAGTGCTTCCCGAACTGTTTTGCAAAATGAAGGGGTGGCTTAAAAGCTGCAGAGCCGTCAACCGTTTCTCTGGATCTCTCTGCAAGCAGAGGGAGATGAAGTTTCTAAACTCTCTTGAAGCTGTGGGTGGCGCCTCAGGCGGTTTCGACATACAAATGGCGCACATGAGGGAAGCCCAATCCCCTTGCCTTCCATCGTTGAAGGGGAATCTCCCCAAGTAGAACTCCAAAATGCTCACTCCCAAACTCCATATATCCCCTGCATAACCATTGTACTGTCCCTGGTTCAGATCTGTGTTTATCCTCTCTGGGCTCATGTACGCGATGGTTCCAACGGAGGAGTTGCAGGGATCCATTGTTTGTGCGAGGATTCTCGAGACCCCAAAGTCGGCTATCTTCACCTTGCGCTGCGAATTGATGAGCAAATTGGAGGGCTTGATGTCCCGATGAACAATCCTCCGTCGGTGGAGGTAGCAGAGTCCGGAGAGAATCTGGCGGGTGAGATCCGAGAGGGAGGGTTCGTGAGGCATGTGGGTCCCTTCCAGCGATCCTCTGTCCACGTACTCGAGGAGGACTTGAATCTCGCCATTGTGATCGGACAAACCGTGGCATTTAACCACGTTGGGGTGGTCGACGTCGCGGAGGATCTCGATCTCGCGACGCATCTGGAGGCGGACGGAGTCCTCGTGGTGGCCGTGAATCACCTTCAGAGCATAGAATTTGCACGTCGGACGGTGGAGGACCTTGTAGACCGTGCCGCCGCTCCCACTCCCGATGCGGTTGATGCGCTCCAGCTCGGAGAAGGTGAGAGGAGTCGATAGATCAGACGAGGATGGTAACACCGAGGCCGGAGACGGGGCCGAGGTGGGAGGGAGAGGAAGAGGTACAGCTAATCTAGGGTCACGTTGAGGAAGAGGAAGGGTTAGATCGGGTTTCCGCCGGTGACGATTACGATTCGCTGCTGGGGAAGATGAGGGCGGCGGCGGAGAAGAAAACTCCGATGGAGCGGAATGTGCCGGTTGAAGCGACCGCATGATTGATTGGTGTGTGGGGGTAGATCGATCATTGGAAAAAATGGCAGTAAATGACGAAACAAAAAGCTGGGCTCTCTGACGTGAAAACACAACCTCGGTCCCGCTATATTCGTCCACTTTTGACTTTTGAAACTATTCATCTAAGCACTTTGACTCATCAAATTCTCTCAATATGTAAGCCTAAATATAGTCATTTGTGATCTTGTTTGATTTGTCTTAACATATAGATTATGAATATATACTCCCTCCGTCCCGCTATATTCGTCCATTTTTTACTTTTGGAACTGTTCACCTAAGCACTTTGACTCATCAAATTATCTCAATGTGTAAGTCTAAATATAGTCATGCGTGATTTTGTTTGATTTGTCTTAACATATAAATTATTAATATATAATTTCTATAATTTTTTAATATACAAATTACTCCGTACAAGATAAAATGAATTAAAGAAGTGCATTGGATGGTGTGCAAAAATGAAAGTAGACAAATATAGTGGGACGGAGGAAGTAATTTCTATAATTTTTTAATATACAAATTACAAGATAAAATGGATTAAAAAGTGTATTGGATGGTGTGTAAAAATGAAAGTGGACAAATACTCTGGGACAAATAAGTCTTATATTCTGTTTTAGTGCTATTTAGTGCAGATATGAAAAATGAAAAATTTGAAAAATTATTTAGGGAAAAAGTTTGAAAAATGAAAAATGAAAAATTTGAAAAAGTTTAAGTCTTATATTGGGAAATGACTTGTGTTTGAGAATATGAAAAATTATTCTTTTTTTGAGGATAGAGCACTATTGGCACCAACTCTCGAAGTAGTTGAAATGATAAATGAATTTGTTTTGTCCCACATTCTTGGTGATGAAAAGGAGTACTTGAGTTCTGATTCTTCGTGCCAAGCAGAAGCAGATGTAGGTGTTGGTTGCGATTGGATAACAGTTGAGTTTTTGAACGAAATCAAATGTTCGGGAATCCCAAACCACAAAATAGTCTTGAAAAAAGGGATACCGATTATGCTATTGAGGAACATTGACCAAACATCTGGATTGTGTAATGAGACAAGATTAATCGTTCAAGAGTTGCGAAATAAAGTTATCGGTGCAATTGTGGTTTCGGAAAATCGAGTTGGTGAAAAATTTTACATCCCTAGAAGGAATTTGGTACCATCTAATCCAGGGCTACTCTTGAAGTTCCAAAGAAGACAATTCCCGATCGCCTCATGTTTTGCTATGACTATCAACAAAAGTCAAGGTCAAACATTGTCATTTGTGAGATTAGTTTTAACCAAGTCAGTGTTCACACACGGTCAAGTATATTTTGCTGTTTCACGAGTGAAGACAAAGACAGGATTAAAAATATTAGTTCTAGATGACAATGGAAACCTTTGCAACCATACCAAAAATGTTGTATATCCTGAAGTCTTTCAGAAAATTTGGTATTAAAATAAATATTGTTAACTCTATATTCTGCTCCTCAAATATTATTTATTTTACTTTGGATTTTTTTCATTTGCAATATTAAAAATCATGTGAGCAATATATTTTCTTTATTCCGAAAAATAAATTTTATTGAAATAATTCAGAATTGACATAAATTTTTTTCGACCCCGTGCATGGCACGGGTCAGAATACTAGTATATATATGTAAAGTTGAGTGTTTTGTTTGTGGTGTTGACATGTGGCATGTCACATGTGCATCCACATGTGCACTAATGCAAGTGAAAGTATTTCATTGGTTTAATAAGCTTATTTTTAGAAGGATCTTTTAGTATATTTTATTGTATTATATTAAATTAATATTATTTTTTAGCATTAAAAAAACATTACTTTGATTATATTTTGTACTACCTCCGTCCTAGAGTATTTGTCCACTTTCATTTCTACACACCATCCAGTACACTTCTTTAATCCATTTTATCTTGTAATTTATATATTAAAAAATTATAGAAATTATATATTAATAATCTATATGTTAAGACAAATCAAAAAAGATCACATATTACTATATTTAGACTTACATATTGAGAGAATTTGATGAGTCAAAGTGCTTAGATGAACAATTCCAAAAGTCAAAAGTGGACGAATATAGCGGGACGGAGGGAGTATAAAATTTAACATTTTCTAACAATTCTATAAACATATATTTCACAATTGTAAAATTTACTCCGTATTTTAAATTTGCATATTGATTGTAAAATTTTAAAGAAGAATATGTATAAGACTCTTTATTCTTAATTTAAAAAATATTTCACTTTCAGAAAAATGAAAAAATATTTCACCTTCAAAAATATTAAATTGTTTTTGGAATTTTTATGGTTTATTTAATTTAATATTTTTTAAATTAAATAGTTATAGAATTATTAGTGCATGTACATCAATATTTAAAGTATACTTTTTATTTTAAAAATATACTCCGTATATCTTAGAGTGAAAAAATATTCATTTAAAATAAATAAAATTATATTTATAGAATATAAAAAATTTAGAATGTATATGAGCCCGTGCGAAGCACGGGGTTGACACTAGTTCCTTCATATAATGAACCCTTAAGAAATTGCTACAATTTAATTTTTTTGTCAAATTAAAGCATCATTTGACTACAAATTAAATATAATTTAAAATAATTAAATATTATAAAAATTTGATATTTCAAAAATGTATTTTAAAATAAATCTAATTTTACTAAATTTACATTATAACTAAATATTTTTTTTCATAACTCGCGGTCAAAGAATGCCACAATTTGACAAAAAAAGTCAAACATTGACAATTTTTTAGCTACGAAATAAGTACTCCATCCGTCCCCAAAAGAGCTTCCCTTGTTGATTTTTTGGGAAATTAAGGGAGGAATACTTAGGTCTTGACTTTCCAAAAATACCCTTGATGTGATGGATAAAAGTAAGATGTGATGAATGGATTATTAGTAAAAAGGTATGATGTGATAGGTAAGGTATGAAAAAGTAATAGGTAACAGTGATTTTTTAAGGGAAAAGCGAAATTTTTTTGGGGATAAAGAAAAAATGAAAGGGGAAATTCTTTCAAGGACAGAGGAGTATATGTTTTTTAATTAATTGTTTTATTTTTTGAGTGCATGGCATTTAATTGTTATAATATAAAAAACTAAAAAAACAATAATCTGAAATTGGAAAACGTATTAATAACAAAATAAAAACTAGAAAACATTATAAAAATTTTATATTTTATATTATTATTTTATAAAATAAAGAATTTAATTTGGATAGAGATATGTAAATATTAAACAAAAAAGTAAAAGTATAATCATTTTAGTGTGGGTGTGAGGCACTACAGATATGAAGTAAGTGAAATGGTGACGCTGTCAGCGCTGATGTGACATCGAATGACTGCTGATTTGAAGTAAGTGATGGTGAAACGCTACAGATAGCTGTAAGGGGTAAGATCTGAATTTAATTTGATTTCTCGCAATTGCGTTGAGAGATATGCTAAGCATAGAGCCTCTGCAAGTGCTAAGTACAAGCTCAATTTTTCGCCACCAATTCGTGATTAAAGTTTAATTTACCTCCTCTCACTAACCGCCTAGCCGGGTCTAAGGAGGACTCGAGAATGGGGCTCATCTTTTCGTTTTTTTGTTTTCTATACTATTATTTTATATGTCGCAAATATTTAACAATCATGCTAGGCGTACCCAAAAGATTGTATTCCAAAATGTATCTCAAAGATTTACATTTGCATTTTAATAATATATATTGACACAAAATATTAGCGCGATTACAAATTTTGTAGTTACATTTTATGTTAATATAAGACATTAATCTCGCACATATACATTAACAAAAAATGTAAGCATACATCTTTGGGATATAATTTTTAGTGTAGAAATAGATTTATTCAATATTTAATTTCAGTTACCTATTTATTTTCTTTGATGTGTTTATTTACAAATTATAATTTCTCGTAAAAACATAACTTTAGAAGGTACTAGAATAGTTTGTGGGTAATGCTATCTCCATTTCAAAGTACTTCCTTTTTATTTAGTTTTGGTACTATTTAATACAAATATTTCTTTAATATTTTATAGTGAAAGTTAATAAGTTTTAATCATTAATTATATAAAATTTATATTAAATATTGATATAAAAATAAATTTGTTAGACTAGACTTTTATTATAAAATGAATTCAAAATATTACTCGGTATTTTATTTAATTAATGTATAATGTACGGAGTAATTATTAATTAATTAATTAATATGTAGAGATTAAAATAAGGTGGAGTAAAACTTCCATTGAAAAACAGTGCCCGTAACGATTGTAGACTAAAAACAGTAAAACACGAGTCAAGTTTAGCAATAAAGAAGTCAAACTGAAAAGAGGTGTGGGGGTGAGTATCATTTCCTATTCCGTATATTAACCAGCCATAAAAGTCAGCAGCCGGAAGAAGTCACCGGCGGGCGGCGGCGAAGCACAAGACGGCCGCATCTGGCCGGGAAGTTAGTTACAGTGGTAGTACTTCTGTTCTTGGCGCATCAACATCAACCAATTACCTCGCTGAAGCACAAAGGACCGACGACGATGTCGAAGCTGACAGTTTTCCTAACGTTAGCGTGGGCACTGAGCCTTCTCTATGGCGAGATGTTCGCTTTCTGGATTCCCTATATCTGGTCGTGTTCTTGGCCTCGCCCACCTTCCTCTGTAAGAGTTTTTAAACTGTTTTTTCTTGTATTTGTTTGCTCCCATCGTCATTGGTTGTCCACTAGCCTTTCTAATATTAGGTCATGCGATTTTATCTTATTGGAATTAGAATTGGCTTTCTGCGTTAACTAATAGCTCCATCAGTTTACTATAACAGTGATTGCTATTGTCATTTGGTTCAGATTCAGATGATTAGGATTGGTATCAAACGTTTCATAGCTATCCTTCCATGAGGATGAATGATTACTTGAGTAACACTGTTGAGTGGCCTCACTAGGAAACGGGTGAAGTTTGAGGCTAGGAGGATAAAAACATGAAGATTCATTTCTCATTGCTGGCTCACTGCTTGATTACTAGTGTCATCAGGGTGAGATTCTGTAATAAACTCCATGGAAGGATAACTATGAGACATTTTGTAGATACCCTTCCATGAGGATGATTACTTAAGTCACTGTTGACTGGTTTCACTAGAAGAAATGGTGAAGTTTTATGGTAGGAGGATAAAACCTGTGGATTAACTTTTGGAAACCGAAGTTTTGTAGTAGCATTTCTGGGACACCAATGCCACTCCCCCCCTCCCTTTGATGGGGTCTATTTCCTTTTCTATTCTGGGTTCATTATTCTAGTAATAATTTTGATTTTCCTAACATAACTGCACTTGGCTGATTTCTGTAGAAGGATTCTGAAGCTCTAGAAGTTATTAATAGATCTCTTGTGCGAATGGTTTACACTATTACGAAATAGATTTTGGATTCAAAGGGCATCTATGTTCTTTATGCTCTCATTTATGCATTGCATTCTCTTAGTAATCGGGAATACTGATATATGGTGGCATGCCTTCTTCATAAAGATTAGCATTCCTGTGCTTTAATTCTGTCTGACATCTCTGTTTCTGTAATTTTAAGATGAGCAAAGTAGATAATCCTGGTGATTATGTAAACATTGCTGTCCTTGCCGATCCTCAGGTAATATTTTCAAAACCAATAGCAAATTTCATTAGTACAAACTCTACTGACCTTCTGGAGTCCGATTTCATACTTTTGCTCACGTGTAAAGATTTTCACAGCTTATGGACAAAACTTCCCTCCGCCTTGCTCCAAAATCCTTGGCTCTAGAGATGGCTCAATTCTATACAGATTTGTTCATGCGTAGGGCGTTCTTATCATCTATTTTGCCATTCAAACCAGATGTCATTTTGTTCTTGGGTGATTATTTTGATGGTGGACCTTTCCTGACTGATAAAGAGTAAGTTGACTGATAAAGAGTAAGTCTTGACTGTTATCTCTAGTAGTTGAATTGGCATTTTGCGTGTAGATATAACCTCTTTAGTCTTACTTTGGGTCAATCTCCACTAAATGTCTAAATCTATAAGTGTTGAGCTTCATTAAGTACTTCGTTAATTTATCAATTCAATTAGTTTATTAATTGATTAATTCAATTTTTGGCAGATGGTTGGAATCCTGGAGCCGATTCAAACATATATTTAACCTGGATATGCTTCAGCAAACTACAAATTTTAAAATTTTCTACCTCGCAGGGAACCATGATGTTGGCTATGCTGCCTTCCACTCGCGTATGCCACAGGTCTGTCAATTCATCAAGAGTAGGGACTCTTTGAAATTTTTATATTTTAAACTTTCAGACCAGCTAGCTCTATGGGGCGGAGTGTTGGGCGGTTAAGAAGATTCACGTGCGTCATCTACATGTGGCAGAGATGCGGATGTTGCGGTGGATGTGTGGTCAGACGAGGCAGATAGAATTCCAAATGAGGTTATTCGAGGTCGGTTAGGCATGGCGCCAGTTGAAGATAAGCTTTGGGAAGCTAGTTTGAGGTGCTTTGACCATGTGAGACGGCAGAATGCACACGTTCCAGTGCGGAGATGCGAGAGACCTACTTTGGTAGGGAGGGGCTAGGGGGATGTACAGGGAGGGGTTGACCTATGAAGACTTGGAATGAGGTGATTAGACATGACTTAGGACTTCTTGCCCTCACTGAGGATATGACCTTAGATAGGAGCGTTAAGAGAGATGGGATTAGAGTAGTTGGGTAGGTGTCTTGAGCTAGGGGGTTGTTGTTGTGTGCCTTGTAAGCCTTTTATGATTAGTGCTTTATGCATTTGATTGCAATACTCTCGTATTGTAACTTCACTTTATTTAGTTTAGTCTTTACTCTATGTGCTCGGTGCTTGATTTGAGTTGTACCTGTGCCTTCCTTGCCTTTTGTATCCCCTATGATCCCTTTTATGTGCAGCTCGAGCCGGGGGTCTCATGGAAATAGCCTCTTTACTTTCGGGCAGGGCAAGGTCTGCGTACACACACCCTCCCAAGACCCTATTTCGTGGGATTCAATTGGGTTGTTGTTGTTTTGAACTTTCAGTTTCTAAAGCATTTTCAGTATAAGTGATACGTAACGTGTTACTTATCCCCAACCCGAACCAACAATAGCAACCAACCCAGTAAAATCCCAACTTTGTTAGTCTGGATCATCACGATGTACACAACCTTATCGGTGTAAAAACAGAGATGATGTTTCCATTAGGACTTCGATACATTGCTCATTGCTGCATTTACGGCTCAAAACTTCATGGGAAATAAGAAGCAAGAAAAGTGTAATATGCCAACTTGATTTAGTCCATTATACAATCAAAGCTAAAGCATCAGCAAATGACTCTCTTATATCCTGGAAATGAACACATAAGCATACATTTTTTTTTATTGTTTGGCATATGTTCTTTTCCCTTTAAAATTTATTTGTGTTTGGCTTTTATATTTGAATACATTCTTCTGTCGGTAGTTACACTTTGTCATTTGACAGTTTCTCATCTTTTCACATGTGCATATTTTTGTTTATATGCATTCAGGTTATCAGACGCTATGAGAAAGTATTTGGTGTGAGGAATTACCATTTCACAATTGGAGTTGTAAACTTTATTGCTGTTGATGCACAAACATTGGACGGTAACTTTCTTCTTCTGCTTGAGATCATTGTGGGAGATTTCCTCACATTGCAGGTTGATAGAATTTAAGATGGGATACAGGTTTTTGGACTGAGCGTGTGAGCTATAAGACACTGGGCTAAACCACATTTAAGATTGCAGTCAATTACCTAGTTCAACTCAAAATCTTATATACCCATTACTTTCTCTTCAAACCTCCGATGTGGGATATTTTAACTTTTGAATCAAACGACCACTTTCAAATGGACCCCCCCTCCTCCTAGGAAATGAGAGGATTGAAAGTGCCAACACTTAAAGGATCATGATGGGTATGGACTTCCTGAATGAACCACATATTATTTTCCATACGGACAACTGAGCTGAAGACTAACGGGCTGCTAGGAATGAACTTCTAGACACACCTTATCAAATGAGTTGGGCCAAAACCTACTTTGATACCATGATAGAATTTAAGATGAAATGAAGATTACTGGATTGAGTCATAAGACATTTAGGGGTGTATTCAATCCATTGATTTTACATAATACATGGATTCTAAGAATTTATCAGAATCTTTTAAAATCTAGATTGAATACAGCTCCTTTAGGTTGAACCACATTAAAAGATTATATCATATTGATTACCCAATTCAACCCAAGAGCTTATATACTCATTACTTCTATTCAAACCTCGGATGTGGGATGATGGGGATACTTTAACAAAGGTGACATAGGTTCAGTCTGCAAGCCAAGATATTGCTTCTTTACTTTCTCCGGAGTAACATGTAGTTCTATACTGTAATCACACTGAGGGGAACTTGTAACACCAGTTTGTATTTTGCAGTCTCATTAATGAAACTAAATCTGTCTAATTAGTGTTTGATTTGTACAATAATCACTTACAAACTGTCTCATCCCCGAAAATATGGAATTATTTCGCATTGATTTGTTGGACAGTTATTAGTTATGAAGTTCCATAAAGATGCTGATGGGAAAACATTATTTCCCCAGGGAAGCCCCAAGGAATAGAGACTGCTACCACATGGAATTTTCTTAAACAAGTCTCCAAGAGTATGAGACCTGTTTGTTCTTATCTTTTTTTCAAGATAATGTTCATTTTCAAATAAATATTAGATTCCTATTTTCTATCTGATACTATGTAGATATTACGTCAAGGCCTAGTGTTCTGTTAACTCATATCCCACTTTATAGACCAGATTGGACTTCATGTGGTCCTTATCGTGCATCACCAATTATTAATCAGGTAGGTCTAATCTCTTCTCTGCTTATGATCGTATCCTAAATATCTTTTTTCTAAAGTGCATATTGTTCTCTTTCCATTTCAGAGGATTAACCGCGATGACCATGATAAGGAGATATTGTGAGTTCCTTTCATGAGTTTATGTGTATTCCCCACTTTGTGCACGCTAGTACTGAAATTGAAACTTGTCTTTTGGTTACAATCTTTTCTCAGGTACCAAAACTATGTGACTGAAGAACATACAAATCACTTGCTGGAGTTGATCAAACCTGTATGTATATTATCTTCATGACTTCATCCCATGATGTCTGTCTTGAAACAGAAAAAGAAGATAGACAGGAACCTCTCAAATGATTGTCTCCATTTATAAAAAAACTAATTTAAGTTTTTGTAGGCATTAATCCTTTCTGGGCATGACCATGATCAATGTACAATAGTACACACAACGAAGCATGGTGCTGTAAAAGAGGTGGTGCTTTTTAATTTAGGAATTTAGTTTTGATCAATAATTGCAATGTTTGATGGATAGCTTTTTGCAGCACTCTTTAGGGACTATAAGTTGGCAGCAAGGAAATTTGTTTCCCTCTTTCATGTTGTTATCTGCTAGTAATCTTACCTTATCAGATGGATCTCAACCCGCAGATGCCTTCTCCACTAGAGTCTGCTTTCTCCCTGCTCAAACACACATTTATATATGGTGATTTATATATATAGAAAAATTTGTGGCTTACACTTTAAGTGGGTATACACTGATCATACACATTTCCAGGTATCTTCTGATGTTAATCTTGACAGTTCTTGTCCTCTTCTGGCCCACAAATGGATTTCCTTTGCTGCATAAATGCATGAGAAGTCTAATTAGTTCGAGTATATTTGAAGGGGTGAAAGAAAAAAATGACGATGATTTTTGTGAGTATGAGGAGGTTTGGGATGTCGAAGGGTCAATGCATCTCATAAGGAAAATCTCTAAGGCTTCACCTCCTACACACTCAAGTCACTCATCTATGGAAAGGTATGTTACACTTGTTTAAGCCCTTTGGCCTAGCTAAATGTGTATCTAACAGCAGTATCATTAGCCTAGTCTCATGTATTTTGGGGCCGGTTACGTGAAGCTATAAACCCACAAGCTGTGTTAGGAACATGGAAAATTGTAGGAAGAAAAAAATCCAAAGAAAGTACTCATTCCCTCCCAAAATGAACTTTTCAGTGAGCCACACAATCTATTCTTTAGAATGAAGTAAAGAAATTGTAAAGTTCATTTTGGAACGGATGGAAAAGGAAAGCATCAAACTTATTTTGGGATAGAAGGAGTAGTATTTTTAAAGTTTGGTCATACCTTGAAAGATAAGAAAATATTAAAATTGACTGTTCTAAATTTTTTTAATCAATTTTTAGTCTCTCATATACAACAGCCAAAACCGGTGTAATCGCAACTCCTTTGAAGCCTGGGGTAGGGAGTCAAGTTGAATGCACCCTTACCCTTGTGAAATATAGAGAGGTTGTTTTTGTTAGAACTTGATCCATTGCTACATTAACTATCTAAAACTTCATAGAAACTTCAATAATGACTATTTTGGCTCCATTGACATTGTGATTCTGTGCAATATTAATTTAAATTTATAAAGAAAATGAGTTTGATAAAATATCTAAAGTCAATCTATAGAGTTTGAACATGGTCCACTTTAATTGCTCATTTAGTTTTTCTACAAGTAACAAACCATTGGAATGTAAAAAGATCATACATAAAGTTTGCAGGTTGTTGCACTACTTACTTTGCCACAAATAGCCAAGCAATTGAAAGTATATATAAAGGATCCGTTTGGTTGGGGGGAAATATTTTCCAGTAAATTATCTTCCCATCACATTTTAAGACACTTTAAAAATATTTTAGGGGCATGAGGGCAGCCGACGCAGGGTGGCGGGGTAGAAATTTCTTGTGGAGGTATACTGTGAATTACTCCCTTTGTACCAAATTAAACTTCCAATTTGCTTTTTCATTGAGTTTAAGAAAAAAGTGAAATTATGGTTGAAATTGTTTGGACCACTAATTCAATTCCTTTTATGGAATGAGAAGTTTATTCTGGGACAACCCAAAAAGGAAAGTGGGAAGTTTATTTCAGGGATGGAGGGAGTATAACAGAAGGCCACTTATTAGATGGGATGAGATCTGACTTCCTAAAGAGAAGGGGTTTTTTGATGAAACTTGAAAGATGTGACTAATTAGTGTTAGACAGGACCGGATCAAAGCAAAGTAGAATATTTTATTGTTGTGAACTGTTGTAGGATTCATTGTGTTCTCTAAATATAAATAGAGAACAAACCAACACAACTTTTACTAACGCACACAACTATTAACATTAGAAACTACCCGTAATTGCTTTAAGAAACTACCCAACTGTTTTTTTAAATAATTAAATATTTAAGACACACTAATAGACACCATACTAACTGACCCAAACATTGACTTTTTACCCATTCGATTATATGTAATATGCGAACAAACCCGATTAAATCTAACAACCCCTAATCGTTGTTTGTTCACACTAATCTTCACAGCAACGCTGGGTCATCATCATCTTCAATCAAATTTGCAATGTGTTCCTTTTGATCCCATTTTGGACATTCATTCAAAAAATGCCATAGCTCATTGCTCTTGAAACACTTAATGTGACTCTTTTCCCACTGAAACCGACCACCATCCTGACTGGACCCCCGACCTCTCCCTCGGCGACGCCCAAAGTCTTCTCGGTCTGAGCTCCCACAACCACAATGCTCACTTTTGTGCTCCTTAACCTTCTCTTTTCCATCACCTTTAGTGAATAGTAGTTTACCTTGTGTATCTCCTTCCTCGGTTGGCTTTTTTAAGTGTTCCTCGAATGCTTTCAATCTTCTAACCGTTTCTTGAAACTGCATTGTGTTAATGTCGGTAAATTGTTCAATTGCAGCAACGATCTATATGAACTTTTCTGGCACAGAACCCAAAAGCTTTCAAACCAATCTTTTGTCATCAAATGCAGACCCAAGGTTGCTTGCTTGTGTTGCAAGTTGACTAATTTTACTAGCAAAATCATCAAGTGCCTCATTGTTCTTCATCTTTCGAGTCTCAAAATCTGATTCGAGTGTCTGTAATCGCGCCGCTTTAACCCTGTCAACACCAATGAAGCGAGTCTTCAGAGCATCCCAAATTTCTTTCGCTTTGGTAAACTGAGCAACTTGTAACACGATCTCTTTCGGCAAGGATTTAAAGAAATATGCTATTCCCAAATTGTTCTTTGGATTGATTTCTGTTCATGGTTCGATCACCTCCCAAATCCCATTAACATTAAAAATTGCTTTGATCTTCACGGACTAAATAGTGTAGTTTGTAGCACTTAAAATTGGAACCTTAAAAGATAGTGAACTATTTTCCCTTGTAGTCACAATCTGTCTGTTGTCTTCCATTGCACGACTTTAATTCCTTTGACAATTTTCACAAAATTCTTAGACTTTGTTTCCTTCCTGGGTTGTAAGCCACCTGCAATCGACCATCAACCAGAAGACAAGCCCCTGTTTTTCTGTCTTCCAAGCCACTAAAGGAAAGCTACCCCGTTGTTTCATTTTTCCCGCGCTGTTTGGTTGGATTCTGCCAAAGGAAAAAACTAGCCACCTGCTATTTTTGTCATAGGCGAGGAAGAATCTTGTCGAAGATTCTTGATCTATTTTCGAGGAAGTCTCTAACGTTTTTTATTATGATCTGGCAGCCCTTGTGCTCCGATACCAATTGTTAGACAGGACCAGATCAAAGCAAAGTAGAATATTTTATTGTTGTGAACTGTTACATGATTCATTGTGTTCTTGTTGGAGTTTATCCCACACCGGAACTTGTAGTGAAAATAAATCGGTATATAAGCTCTTGAGTTGAACTAACTAATTGATTGGATTCAATCTTTTAATGTGGTTCAACCCTATTGTCTTATTGCCTAATCCAATTATCTCTACCCCATCCTAAATTCTATCATGGTATCAGAGCCAGTTTTAGCCCACCTCGTTTGTCAAGGTGTCCGTCTAGACGTTCATTCCTAGCGGTCCGTTAGTCTTTAGCCCAGTTGTCCGTATGGAGGTTGTACCCAACGGCCTGTGGCCCGTTTAACACGATTGTTCGTCTGGAAATCCATACCCAGCGGCTCGTGGTCCTTTAGGTGTTGGCGCTCAAAAAAAAATTCAAGGGAATGAGAGTTTATTTGCAATCAAAATGGCCCGGTTGTCCACTTGAGGGGGAGTGTTGGAGTTTATCCCATACCGGAACTTGTAGTGAAAATAAATCGGTATATAAGCTCTTGAGTTGAACTAACTAATCGATTGGATTCAATCTTTTAATGTGGTTCAACCCAATTGTCTTATTGCCCAATCCAATTATCTCTACCCCATCCTAAATTCTATCAGTTCTCTAAATATAAATAGAGAACAAATCAACACAACGTTTACTAACCAACACAACTATTAACATTAGAAACTACCCATAATTGCTTTTACAAACACCATACTAACTGACCATACTAACATTATTACCCATTCGCTTATATGTAATATGTGAACAAACCGGATTAAATCTAACAATTGGAACACTACCTCTATCATGAGGCTGATTTGGGATGTAGCTTCTAAAAAGGATGTTTCTTTGTGTAATAAGGATGCATACCAGGTATACAAGGGATTCTAATTTTTGGGCCTACCAACCTAGACCTGATTGCTGTTGGTATTGGAAAAAGATGTGCAAGGCAAGAGATAGGATATCTTGTTTCACATGGGCTTCTAGTTTTTCCACTCAAGCAGCTTATTAGTGGCTTACATGGAGTAATGAGAACCCGCGGTGGCATATGGCTGTTTGGAACAAGCTTACCTTACCTAAACATCAACTACTTATATGGCTCCTTAAATGAATAGAGTTAATGTTTAAAGTGTGGTTGCTAAGTTTCTTGATATCAACACTGTCTTTGTTGATTTCTTCATAAATGCTTAACCATGAAGAAAGCTAGAGGAGAAGAAAGCGAATTGGAGATTTTATCTCGGTAAACACGATTATGACAAAAATTGATACAAAGAAAGAAGAAAGAACAAAATATAAAGAGAAAAGCTGATAGAAGCCGCATTATCTAATTAACCTATAACGCTAACCAACTAACAAAATATCTAGCTAAGCTAATTAAGCTATTCCAACACCCCCTCGAGTTGGAAGGTGTTTGAACTCCTAACTTGGCAAGAAGTTTGTAATGAAGAGTGCTAGGTAGACTTTTGGTGAAGAGATCAGCTCAGACGTAGGAACATGCGCGAGAGTGGTCAAGCCTTCTAAAGTTATTCCTGCACAAAATGAGAGTCATATTCGGTGTGTTTAGTGCGCTCATGATATAGCCGGTTAGTGGCAACATAGATGGAAACTTTGCTATCACAACGAACAGGAATAGGAACAATATGAAGAACATCAAGATCAACAAAAAAGCTAGAAAGCCAAGCCAGTTCAGCAGTAACACGTTGAATAGAGCGACACTCAGCCGCTGCTGAACTCAGAGAGACAATGGCTTGCTTCTTGGCCTTCCAAGAAAAAGGGCTACCTCCTAAAAGAATGAAATAGCCACTGACGGACCTCCAAGTCTTGGTGCAAGCTGCCCAGTCAGAATCCACTAAGCTTGTAGAGAAAAATCAAGTAATGAATTAAAATAGACCCTGAGAATGAGCAGAATTGAGGTATCTGAGGGTATGATGTGCAGCCTCCCAACGAGGAACTCTGGGATAGTGGGATCTTGCATAAATTGGCTGTGAAACTGCACTGCACAAGCAATGTCTGGCCTGGTGTTCTAGAAAATTGAGCTTGCCTACAAGGCATCTATAGATAGAAGAATCTTGAAGAGGAGGTCCTGTGTTGGCCTTGAGCTAAAGATTGGCTTCTAAAGGGCAGGCAGCATGAGAAGTGGGAGGACAACCAAATTCTGTGAGCAAACCCATTACCCATAGTGAACTTTCTTTGAGTGAGAATCA